ACTATACAAAAGCAGTTTTGTGTACCACTGAAATTAAGTATTAATCTAAACTAGTTTGTTATAAATGAGATATTAATAAAAACAGCAGGTAACCACCAAGAAAATAAGTTTAAAAAAATATAGTAAATGAAAAAAATGGGAATTAAAACAGCACACTAGAAAATAAGACAAAAGAAGGCAGTAATGGAGGGATAGAGGAAAAAAAGAGATCCTATATAATAAAGAGGTAATATACAAATTAACCCTTACACCCTCACAAGATGGCTGCCTACAACCAGGCTGGCAGGGGAGTTAGTGAGGAACGACCAAATGACTGAACAGCAGGCTGCATGGGGCGACCAGGCCGGTGGGGGCAGGGGAGGGGGTAGTTGGGGTGACCAGGCCAGCAGGGGGTGCAGTTAGGGGCTACCAGGCCAGCAGAGGGGGGCAGTTGGGGGTGACCGGGCCAGCAGTGGGGGACAGTAAGAGGTGACCAGGCTGGCAGGGAGGGCAGTTAGGGTGACCAGGCAGGAAGGCAGGTGAGCGATTAGGAGCCAGCTGTCCAGGATTGTGAGAGGGATGCTGGATTGGAGAGGGTGCTGGCTGGGCTGAGGGGACCCCCCCTGCATGAATTTTGTGCACCGGGCCTCTAGTTGAAATATAAAAAAGAAATAGCAAAATGGAAGGCATAAATCTTAATTTACTAATTACATTAAATGTAAACAGTTTAAACTTGCCAATTAAAAGGCAGAGATGGGAGGAATAGATTTAAAACACTATCCAACTATATGCTGTCTATAAGAGGATCATTTTAGACTCAAAGGCACAAATAGGTTGAAAGTTAAAAGATGGAAAAATACACCATGCAAACAGCAACTGACAGAGAACTGTTGTGACTATACTAATATCATAAATAATAGATTTTAGATACAAATTGCTATAAAGACAAAGAAGGATACTTTATAATGATAAAGGGCTATTTCATAAAGAAGAAATAAACAACTACAAACATACATGAACCTAGAAATAGAGCTCCAAAATACATGGAGAAAACTGAGGTCTTTAAGAGCAGTCTAGGAGAAGGCATCTCTGTCTTAAACATGGAGAAAACTGAGGTCTTTAAGAGCAGTCTAGGAGAAGGCATCTCTGTCTTAAATATTGATGCCCATGACCCATTATGGTGCTTAATAGTCTACCACTAAGAATTCATTCCTTGGGTTAAAGTTTTAGTCGCCCTTAGAGTTCTTTGTTAAAATGTAAATATAGCCCTGAAGCCACCATTTGTATTAACACCTTAGTAGAAATTTGTTTAAGATCTTTTGTGACAGAAACAAAGGGCTGATAGAGCACACAGGTGTGGCCTTTGTTTAAGATCTTTTGTGACAGAAACAAAGGGCTGATAGAGCACACAGGTGTGGCCTGGAGTAGGCCAGGGGAGAGTAGGAAGGAGGAGAGTCCAAGACTGGGTGGAGGTATTAAGAATAGAGAAAGAGCCCAGAGAGGCTCAGTGTTTGAGCACCGACCTATGAACCAGGAGGTCATGATTTGATTCCCAGTTAGGGCACATGCCCGGGTTGCTGAAGTAGCCGATCAATGACTCTCTCTCATCATTGATGTTTCTAGCTCTCTTTCCCTCTCCCTTCCTCTCTGAAATCAATAATATATATATATATATATATATATATATATATATATATATATCCACATTTAAAAGAATAGAGAAAGAGTACAGGATGGGAAGACGTGCAAGAAAGCTAGGGTATCACAGAGAAACAGAAAAAACCCCAAAGAGTCCGTGAAAGGAAAGTGAACGGGGCATTGGTTTGGTGCCAGAACTCATGGTTTGGCAATTCAAGGCTGAGGGCAGCAGCAGACCCCAGAAGAAGCACAAGGAAGCAGAATACAGCAACAAGTGAGGATCCAGGAATGGCAACAAGCACAGGTCATTCCCAGGTAAACACCAAGGAGCTGGCACCAAGTCTGAGCTGCTATCTGAGTCCTAGAGAACCACAGACAGGGAGGGAGAGTGGGCTATGGGGCTGAAATCAGACCACAGACACTGGTAGACTACAGACATTGACTGGAAAGCCAAAGGCCATGAGGCAAAGCCAGATACCAGCTCATCAGCCAGGTAACTGGACTGGGGAATGGGGATTTATCCAGTTTGGGAGTAAACACTTGGTGTTAGTTCATTCTTATCTGAAACTGAAGCAAGGAAAAGGGTCTGGGCAGCAGCTCAACAGTAATAGGCCCTATTTGTTAGCACCTCTTGTGCTGGGCACTGTGCTAAGTACTTCACATACATTGCTTTATTTACTAGTTTACATGTCCCTGAGAGGTTGATGTTGAAACCTCTAATCTACAGATTAACACGAAGCCTGGTGAAGTGACTTGCTCAAGATCATAACAGCAATGTAAATGGGATGGAGAAGCGGTTTTTCTGATAGCACTGCTGGCTCAGGGCCAGGCTGACCGTCCCTGGGTGACTTTGATCACCGTGGTGGTTTAAAAGGAATGGGAGAGTGCCCTAACTGGTTTGGCTCAGTGGATAGAGCATCGGCCTGCGGACTCAAGGGTCCCAGGTTCAATTCCAGTCAAGGGCATGTACCTTGGTTGCAGGCGAATCCCCAGTGGGGAGTGTGCAGGAGGCAGCTGATCGATGTTTCTAACTCTCTATCCCTCTCCCTTCCTCTCTGTAAAAAATCAATAAAATATATTTTTAAAAATTCCTCAAAAGGAATGGGAGAGAAGGGGAGGAGAGAAGGGGAGGCTGAGACGTGGGGACACAGAACTTCTCAGAGTCTCTCTGAAGTCCTCATGCTCCACACTTCTTTAAGTGAGATTGGAAAAGGGAGCAGCAGAGGCCTGAAGACACTTTCTGCCCTTCTGTCTCTTGGGACCTTTGAGGGTTCGTGGGGAATTACCCCCGACACTGGAAGGCCGGGCACTAGGGTCATCCCACCCTGCTCTAAGTCCTGAATCCACTTCTCCTAAATGGAAAAAATGCAGCCCGAGCCAGGGGTCAGGTGTTCAGGGACAGATGCATCTGTGGCTGAGGGGACCCCACGGAGAGCCTGCTTGCCCCATAAATCCCAATCGCCATCCTGTTTCCATCAGAAGCAGGACAGCTGCTTCCCTTTCTCCCTGGCGATCCCTACCTTCCACCTGTACTCCATACACATAAAACATACATTCACACAGCAACACACCAGACAAGAGGGCCACCGCGGGGTGACCGTCCCCCACGCATCCCACGAATGAGACCACCACCAGTGTCCTCTCCCAGGAAATGGAGTCTCCTGTGAGTCCCCCTCAAACTCTGAGTGGGGCCAGAGCAGCCTAAGTGGGAAAATGAGCAGGTCGTCAAAAGCATTCTGAGGGGGAAGAGCCTGGAGCATCAAATAGCCCACTGCTCACTTTACTGCTGAGACGGGGCCCAGGGAGGGAGCCGGCTTGCCCAAGGTCAAGGGGCACCTTCCAGTGCTCATTGCTGGTTTTTGTTCCACACCCTTCACGGGCTCCCTGGTGCCTATGAAGGCTGGATGACAGAGAAGAGAGGAGTCTGCAAAAAGAAGTGGGCATTTACCTGGAGACCCCTGGGGCTCTGACCCCTTTGGGGGTCTGTGGAGAGGATGTAGGGAGGAGCATTGGGAACTGCGGACTCTCCCTGGCCTGGCTGACTGTGTGCATTTGTCTTGAGTCATCTTCTCAGAGGCATGTGGGCACTTTCTGCCTCTCTCCCTTCACCACCTCCTCTCCTGCGGGCCTGGGTCCACAGCCCGAGAATGGTCATCGGCAGTGATCTTTATGGTCATTTCATCCAATTTCCCTCCAAGGGCAAGAGTGCCCTCGCCAGCTCCGCTGCCAGCCAGCCAGTGATGCTGGAGCTGCCAGGGCTGGGCGCTCATCAGCACCCAGGCCAGAGACCACCACAGGCCCAGACCTTCCCTTTATTCCAATGCCCTGAGCTGTTGCAGTCATGGTGCCCAGGCCACCAGCAGCTACACTCTCTTGACAAACACCAGCAAAATGTCACCATCACAGCCACACTTAAAACACACACACACACACACACACACACACACACACACACGGTCTTCTGGTAAATCTCAAATCAAATAAAATGAAGTCAGTAATGATGGACCTGATGTTGGGCCTCACTGCCTGCATGTCAAGCTACCCTGTCAATCATCACGTACAATTTCTCAGAGAGCTATTTTGAGAAACATTTAGAAAATGGCTTTACATAGCTATAGTTTATTTATACCCTCCAGAAATGGTCGCTCTGTTTAGCAGCAGATGGTTTTTTTCCCCTGGTTTTCTTTTCATCTCTGAAAGTGAAGCGGGAAGTAAGCCCACTCCCTAACCCCAGGGGCACATTTATCACCCCCAGCCCACCTGGGAGTCCTGGCTGTGGGTGGGGGGGGGCGGTGAGGAGAAAAGGCTGGGGTCCTTGTAAGGCACTGTTTCTGAGAACCCGTGGGGCAAATACCATGGGCCAGTGGCTGCTGAGAGAGGCTGGGCCCTGAAGCCCGGCGAGGAGCAGGACCCCTGGGGGTGGAGGATGTGGGGTGGGGAATAGGATGCGGGTGCCCAGGTTTGCTCCCCTGAACACCACACAGGCACCTTGAGGTCCATGAACCATATGCCAAGAGTGTCCCATTGGCATCCAGAGAACAGGAGCCAAAGCCAGACCAGCCACCCTGGCATTCATTGCCCAGGTGCTATATCTGTGGCCTGCAGGAAGCAGCAAGTCGGCCCTGCACAGTTACCATGGCAACTGCATTGCTGAGGCTCTTAAAGGCAAGGGGGTTGGGGGGAGAAAGGGGGTGGAGAAGGCACGTGGTGGCTTCTCTGGGAAAGCCCATCTGTTTCTTTCCCCAGGAAGCCAAGCTGGAGGTGGGGGGAGGGAGGGAAAGGATTGGGCATCTGGGATCTAGAGAAAGAAGGAAGAGGAAAGACTCTAAGGTGCTCCAAGAGCAGCTCTCCTGAGTGGAGGTGCTCCCCTTTCTTTGGGGAAGGCAAGTCCCTGTCAAGGACAGAGGTCTGGGCCGGCCTTGGCGGGAGCACCTGTGCCGGAGCCACGTGCAGCATTCAGGTGGGCCTGTGAGCCAGGCCCGGGGGAGAGGCGGAGGCGGTGCCTTTCAGCCACAGCAGGATTTTTTCTTGGCAGGCGGGCAACCTGGATGGTGTCCTCCCTCACTGTGTCTTCTTGCTCCTTGAGGATCCTGGGAGGAGGGAAGGAATAGCATCACTGTGGGTAGCTGCTAGGCCCTTGGGTTACAGACCCTCTGGGTAGTACTGAGGGACCGCAACCTCACCAGAGCATCAGAGAGAGTATTCCAAGTCTCCCCCTGTGGAGTGCAGGCACACGAGTATAATGTGTAAAGCCAGATTTCAGTCAATAGTGAGCCTTCCCACCTCCTCCAGGAAGCCTCCCCTGACCCTCCAGGTGGTGTAGTGCGAGGATAGCACTCTGACCCTTCTGTTCAAACCCCATCGCTCCCTCAGCACTGAAGGAGCTGCTGAGAGCAGAGACTACCGTTTGTCTCTTCATTTCTGCAGCCCATCACAGTACCCGGAACACACAGAGGCTCAGAAAATATATTTCTTAGTTATTAACTCTATGGAAGGGCTGTCCCATGTGGCCACAACTCCAGATTAAATGTGGGAAAGGAAGGATTAAAAACAGTGTTAAGTACAGTGGGGCCTTGACTTACGGGTGTCCCGACTAACGAATTTTTTGAGATACCAGCTGTCTCTCCGCCGATTTTTTGCATTGAGTTGATAGAGTAATTTGAGTTAACGAGCTCCTTAAGGAGCTTCTTAATGAGCTCGGTCTCGGAACGAATTAAACTCGTAAGTCAAGGCCCCACTGTATCTTATCCCTCTTCATACTGTCAAAGTGCTTTCACCTTCAGCACCTGTTTTGATTCTCACAACAACCTGGGAGTGGGCAGGGAAGGTATGATGGATGTGCCTACGTTAGGGGCAAAGCTCAGAGGCAGAGTGACTTGCTCTGAGAATCAGTGCAGAGAAAAGCCTAAAATTTTCCCCACGGTCTTCCATCACTCTACAACCTCGCCAGTGCATAGAACTTGTTCTGGGCTCTTTATTACTCATGTAAAAATGTTTTTAGATACCTCAGAATGAATGCTGAGCACAAATGAGTACTATTAGATGTTTGTTAGCTGGTGCACGGATGGAATGAAATAAATGCCTGAATAGATAAAGGAGTGAATGTTCAAGTATGGAAAATAGGGCCCTGTGTGTTGTGGCGTTTTTCTTAATTGTGATGTAGGCAGGAGGTTTATGGAAGTGTATTTCCATGGGACCAGCCCTTTGGAATGCCATCACCTTGGGTGCCTCTGGTCTCCCATCACAGCCCTTCTCTCCTGGGCTTCCCCTCCTCCTCCCCCTCCCTAGGAGTCCTTACCCCTCCTTTGATCCCAGCTGGCTGGCAACTAGTCCCTTGCTAAGACTTGTGGGACCTTAAGATATGACCTTTCCCATGGACCATTTGCATTTAAAAAGAGGACACAGACAACAGTGTGGTGATGGGAGTTGGGAGGGGGGAGGTAGAGGGGTGGCTAAAGGGGGCATGCAAATGGGGGACATCTATAATAGTGTTAGCAATAAAAATAAAGAATTCCTGGGGAAAGGCAGCCTTAAGAGAGAA